TTCAGCCCATCGAACGATTGCCTATTAATGATTTTCACTGCTTTGTACTTTTGTCTATGCAAAAAAGTTCGAACACTGGAAAATAATTAAAAATTTCACGCACCAGCGCATGAAAGCTCAATTCGAAACCCTGAAGAGTGAATATCTTTCCGTGATTCCCGAGTCAATAGTTTAACCGCCAAAATTCTCACGAGGCCGTAGGTGCTACTCAACAGCGCGGGAACGCTGAACTCGAATGGGCAAGGTTGAGTATGGGCAAGAGGTTACGACCCTAAAATTTCAGCCTCCTAGACTCCGTGGTTCCTGAGATACTAATTTACCTGCAAAAAAATTTCACGGGGCCGTACGTGCTACCCGTGGGTAAGGGAAGGCTGAATTTAAATTTGACACGTCACCCGTTGGTGGGGAACAATATGCCAAAATTTCAGCCGCCTAGCTTTTGTGGTTCACGAGTTGAAAGTGCGGGACAAAATGTGGGACACACAAACAAACATACATACACACAGACACACAGACAGACAACCCCGTGATAGTATGCGTTTTGTAACGCTGTTACACAGCACAAAGCGCATAAAAATGAAAGAAGAAAATATCTAAGCAGCCACATACTAGGCTTGCAACTATGCGTTTTTGCGCTAAATTTGAAACAGTCAGGTAGTTAGCAGTAGAGATGACTGCTTTACATTTAACTTGTGCACTCATCACAGTAAAACTTATACGATGGGATATGAATAATTCTCGATGACCGATCACACACTGAAAACGACCTAACTGTTCTGATCTCCGATTTAGTAAATTTCCCGCCAAAAATTTTACGTATCCGTAAATGAGAAGCAGGCGTACTTAAAAACTGAATTTAAGATCTTCAGAACGCACGCGGAAAAAGCAAACCTTTCCAAAATTTCAGCTTTCTAGCTTTTCTGGTCTCCGAATTAGTAGATTTTACGTCAAAGTTTTCACGTGTCCGCAAGCAAGTCGCAAATGTACTGAGGCTGGGGAATATCCCCCCGAAACTTGAGCTTTCTAGAACTTCCGTTCCCGAGTCAGCAATTTCCCCGCCAAAATTCTCACATGCTC